CGGGAACCCCGGGGAGGAGGATGGGGATGGGGATGGGGATGGGGACTGGGATTGGGGGGGCGGGTTGAGGAAGGCGCCGTTGCGGTCCCGGCGCGGGGGAGGGGGTTCCCATGGCGTTTTCTTGCTGTCGGTGCAGGAGAGCTCATCGGGCACACGGACAGGATCTCCGGGTTCGCGTTTTGCCACTGCCCCGGGCAGAGCAGCCTCTGCGCCAGCAGCTCCGACGACGGGAGCGTCAAAATCTGGGACGCCGAGGCCCTGGCTCCGGTGGCGGGGTACAGCCTGCACCAGGTGGGTTTCTTCAGGTCTGGCACACAAAGCAGGGTGACGTTACTTTCGCCAAAGGTGACGTTCAAACCCGGTGAAATGAAAACCGTTGAATGCTTCTGGCCAGCTCCTTGTTCTAGCCTGAGGTCTGCAGCGTTGTTACATCACCTTAATAAGCCAGTGGTTACCATCAAAGCCTCAGTAAGCGAGTGTGCTTGCGGTGCGAACGCATTGCCGCTTAACCCAGCTCGCTTTCATCTTTTCGTCAAGTTATTGTTCCACACAGGACAGACTAAGGACGTACATTTGAACAGTTACTGTCTCTCAGGGCAGCATATTGGCAAATGTGTCAATCGTGCCAAAGCCCAAAAGAACTGAAACGCGTTAGAACTGATTCAGCTGATGCTGGGGAGTACTCGCAGATTATTTTCTGCTTGTTATTCTGTTAGGTGGTGGTAAGACAGCCGTAAATGTATTCAATTCTCTTTCTTCAGAACACCATCTCAGCATTGCACTGGTCACCCCTTGTGAAAGATTTGATTGTATCCGGTGATGAAAAAGGTATAATTGTTTGTTACTGGCATAACAGAAGTGACAGCCAGCAGTTCTTCCCAGAGCCTCGGACAATTTTTTGTCTCACTTGTTCTCCTCACCATGAAAACCTGGTAGCAATTGGGTAAATATTCATTACATTTTGTTTTCCATTCTTCTGCTGAGAGAACCTTACTGTGAATTTTTGCTACGCAATTGCAAGGTTATTTTCTTCTGGATTTTTCTTCATTCAGAAATAACATTTAGATTTGATAGACCTGCAAAACATAGGAATCCATAACAGTGTAACCGTCCAGATTTGGTTTGAATCTTTGAATTTCTTAAAACTGTTATTTTTTAATTAGACTTGACTGGTGTTTGCCACATTATAGGTTACTTCATCTGAAAAGAATTTCTTAGTTTGACTAGGCCTTTGTCAACCACTGCAATTCCAGTCCTTTAGATACCCAAGGCTGTACTGAACAGAGAAGGAATGTGAAAACCCCTTAGACTTAATGATACAGTTCTCTTGAAGGAGAACACAGGAGGGAAGGAATGAAAGTGATTTGTGATGAAGGGAAAACTTTTCCTTGTATAAAAGCCACTGTAGTTTTTTAAGTCTCTGAAAGCCATATTACTAATGAATTACTGTCATTCTTGAAGCCAAATGTACTACTGGTTGCATTTCTTGAAAAGGCAGCTGCAGGTACACCAGTGCTATACTGGAGCTCCCATTGACCATTAGCCTGATAGTCCCAGTGCTGCTTGTGATTTGGCTTCTCTGTCTGCAATACAGAGATAGTCATCCTGGTAAAGAGCTTGGAAATCGAGTCAGGTATTATTCCACAAGGATCCAAGAATCTCTTCATTAATTTAAGTCTCCATTTTTAGCTACAAGGATGGCATGGTGGTTATAATTGATATCAGCAGGAAAAGAGAAGTTCTTCATCGGCTAAGAGGCCATGATGATGAAATACATTGTCTGGCCTGGTGCCCTGTGCCTGGTGAAGAAAGGTTACCTGCTTGGCAAGATGAGCTCCAAGGTATGTAGAACTGATTAATAATTTGTGAAGTGATTTTTAGTTCATGTAAATGTCTTTCTAGAGAATTGAATTCCTTAATCAGAGAAAGTCATTAAGTAGCTAATCAAAGGCAACCAATAAGTTCAATTACAGTATGTTCTGATACAGAGCAATATATTTTGAGTTAAATTTTTAGAAAGCTTTGAATTTTAAAGTGTAGTAACATGATTTCAATGGTATTCAGTAGTTCCTTCAGAGGAAGGCGAAGTTCCAAATGGGGAGCTGACACAGAGCACAGCCATGAAGAAAGGTTGTTACCTGGCTTCGGGAAGCAAAGATCAGACCATACGAATATGGAGCTGTACTAGAGGCAGAAGTAAGTAAAATTAATAATGTAAGATAAACAATAACAATGTGGTGGAAGAGTTCTTCTCTAACTGCAGCCTTCATTTGTTACCCTGATAGTTTAAAGCATGAGGAGTATACTTAAAGCTTCAGATTCACAGGACTTCTTTTTCTCTCAGAGGATTTTGATGTACTAGGTCTAGATGATCCCTCTGTGTTCCGTAGGTGTAATGACTTTGAAGTTGCCACCCACGAAGAGAAGAGGTGGAGCTGTTGATCCCGCTGTTAAAGAGCGCATTTGGCTGACTGTTCACTGGCCTTCTGGTCGTTCCACAGAAATTGTATCCAGCTGTTTTGGGTAAGCAGGGCACACAGCAGCCTGGGTACCATCATAACTGCAGATTCATTTGATACTTAAGGAAGAACTGGGTAGGGGACATTGACACCCCCTTCCTCCTTCCTTCCCAGTATAACTGGAGAGAAGACAAGCCAAGAGTTAAAGTGGGAGTTCAGACTTCTAGAAAACTACTATTTGTCCCATAATTTGTCTGATAATCTAACTGAATATTGACTGCTAATGGTACTAATTGTGGTTTTGCCCATCTACTGGGAGAAAATGACGTGTCAGTTTTCAGTGTGGTTAACTATGGATGTCATTTGTAGGGTGGCATTTGTGTGTGTGTATCTGTGTATAGGCACATGTAGTGGATGTGTGTCTAGCTGTATTACTCTTGTACTTGCAGTATATATAGATGTAATATAGTCTATATATAGCCTATATTATTCTTTTGAAGTGAACAATGAAGTACACACTTTAAATTTCACAGAGGAGAACTGCTACTCTGGGATTTGAGCCAATCTGGAAAACGCAAGTGGACTCTTTTAGGATCTTCAGAAGGACAGAATCACTCCCGTATTGTGTTCAATCTGAGTTCTGTGAAGCTTCAAGACAAAGAGCTCCTTTTTTCCATTTCAATGGACAGAGATGTAAGAACCATTTATGAAATTAACATATAAACAGCTGTACATATACAGTTTGACTGACCCTACCCCTTTTAGGGCCACAAGTTTTCTCCTAAAGTGGGTTTATTGCAGCATTTTATAACATCATTGCTTAAAATGTGTTCTGAGCACAGGCTGTATATATTTTTGTTAGTTTATAAGCTCAAGCTCTTACCATGGTGGAGTGAATGGTTATGACATTCTGGACTTGAATGGTAAGCATTTAATACAGGGAGCTTACCATCTCTTTTTCCTGGATGTTTCATTTTAAAAAGGTCTATTTTTCCTTCTTAAAATCATTTACTTGTATAAACTAAAGCATCTATTTTTTTTAAGTTTTTGCCTTTTACAGGCAGCAGAGCGCATCCTATTTTCAAGTCAGAAGAGGACCATACTATTAAAGTATAATCATTTTGTTCACTCCATTACAGTCTTCCAACTATTGCAGCCCTGTCTGTGACATGTAATCCTCTGGGTGCAGATCACATACTATCTCAAGCCTTAAATTTGACCCTTTGATTCTTCATCCCATTCAAGCTTTTTTTCCTTGTCATGCCAGTCACTCTACATGTAACCATTCCTTGTTCCTTAAATATTCTTCAGGTGAAGTGCTGGGACCTATCAACTCTCGATTGTAGCTGGACCATGCCCTCGCTTGGGGGATTTGTCTATAGTCTTGCCTTCTCCCCTGTGGACACGGGCTGCCTTGCCATCGGTGTTGGAGACAGCATGATCCGAGTGTGGAATACTTTGTCCATGAACAATATTTATGATGTTAAAACCTTCTGGCAAAGCATAAAGTCTAAGGTTACAGCAGTAAGTGCGCTTTTGATTCCCCCTTTTTTTTTCTTGTCTCTTTTCGCTCCATTTTTTTTCTTTCAAGAATATTTTTCTTTCACTCTGAAAAAGTTTTTTCCCAACTAAAAATATATAAAGCCAAGTTGTTCCTTTTGTACTTGATTCTTTCGGTATACATTTTAGAATCTGGCAACAAAATTTTTAGACCTTTTTACAACCCTGGATGCTTGCATTAGATCTAGTGAAAATCAGCTGGAGTCCAGCTGGCTGTTACATTACTTTTTCACTTTTATCCTCCTTCTTTGCTTAATCCATGGTTGCCCTTGCTCTGCTAGGAAGTTTGACACTCACAAAAACCGATACGGATGTC